GTAGGTGGGGGGGGGGGAGCAGCTTCATCCCAAGCTTGAGGAAATCATGAGGAATCTTCCTCTTTGTTTCCCTGGGCTCTGGGCCAGGCCTTTGTAAGGACCCAGAGGGAGAGTTTACAACCCCTCACACCCAGTGCAGTACGCAGGAGCTGAGCAGAGGGGCTGAGTTTGTCACAGTGCTGTACGCAACCCCCTCCCCATCCTCTGACTGTTTTTTTTTCCCCGAGCTGCAGTACCCGTGTCCCTGAGACATTGCTACCCGGGGGGGGTCAGGGCTGCAGATACAAGATCATACGCTGGGAAATGGCGTTCTAGCATCCCTCCTACTCTGTTTTGTAGAATCACCACTGGCATTGCCTTCACTGCAGATAATTCCTGTAAGTAACCACTTATTTGGTGATGTAAATGATCCCTTTCGTAATAACACTGACATCAGAAGCTAACACCAGAGGAGAGAAGGAGGCTCCTACCATCAGCTGACTTCTTTCTGAAACCGTTCAGACTGAGTTTTTTTTTTTTTTTTTTTTTTTTTTTTCTGAAGTCACGGTCTGGATCCTCTTTGCCTTAGCAAGCAGAGCTCTGTTGATCTGAGCACACAGTGTCACTTTACACTCCAGAGGACCTGGCTCCACGCTCAGCACGCTGAAGTATTTGGCTGTAGCTGCCGCTGCACTAAATGTAAGGGAAATCCATTAAACTTTAGATCTGGCGCCTGCATTAAACTCGCAAGGTATCCCCAGGCAGAGCGAGATCTAAAGTCTAGTGATAAGGACAAACTCTTGACCGAACCTAAACTTTTTGAAATACCCTTTGACCTTCTGGTGCCCGGTGTCATCCTGTCAGCTGCTGCTCTGCTCGAATTTGATTCCGCACTGATTCTTGCATTTTTCTAACCCAATCCTGAAGTTGCAGTTTATGAAAATACTGGACTAACAATTTATTCTTGGTAGATCTCCAGCTTTATTCCTTAATTGGGAAGAGAGGGAAAAATCTAGGAACTGCTATTTGTCTCCTATCCCCTAATTAAACTGTTGGGGTCTGATGCAGCTCACAGTGAAGGCAAGGATAAGACCTGCGTGCGCTTTAGGTAGATCAAGTCTAATGTTCTTCTAGGACAAAACACTGTGGTGATGTTAAATACACATCAATGAGCAGCAATGGAGTGAAAGTGAAGCAGCAATTATTTTGTGTTCTTAACATCTCAACGAAAAAATTTAAAAGGAACTTCCCCCCGCCCCAATAAGCCTTTTCAACATGAGACTACTTAACACAACCCCCCCACGAGAAATCAGAATGCTAGAAAAAAATAAGATTTTTTTTTTTTCCTTCTGACAGAGATTCTTGACACTTGAAAAATGGAATTTGAGATAAGACTACAATTGTCAAAATACTTTCCCGAACATCCAAAAATATATATATTTTCTTTTTAAAGAAGTGAGTATTTTAACATCTGCCTTCTCAATCAGGACACTCTTTTCTATATTACTTACTATATGCAAAGATCAGCTAGTACAATATTCAGACTGTGCATTCGGGTTTTGTTCCTTCTCTGTTTCATGCTTCTGTCTAAATAAACTCCTTGTCATGTCACTTAACTGCAGCAGGACCTGAGCCGCCTCCACTCGTTTGCACAGGCAATATTTGTTGCCTCAAATTACACCTTGCTGGCCCATAGCGTGAAACAAAAAGTAGCCTGGAGAATCGCCCGTGCATCAGTAACCAAGTTAGTTTTGGTGTGATTGTCGCCTACTTAGGTTTAAACTCTGCAGCTTTGCAGTGAGTAAGCATGGAGGAAAACAAGCCTGAAATGCGCTTCAGAACGTCTGTACACAGCCAAAAATAGTTTAAATTACAGTTAAAAACTAAAGCGACAGCAGCATGACTGCACAGGGGCAGTTTCTTCTGTCATCTCGTAAGTTATCTCCCTGACTTTTCGGTATACATCCCTGGTATAATAATGCACTTATGAACGGCCTACCGTGTATTACATCGTCATAAATGTATAAATAACGGACTGTTGTTATGGTTCGGGACAACGTACATATTGCACAGGACAAGCTCTCTGCTGACTCAAACTATGTACACAATCTGGTGTACTCTCCCTTGCAAGCTCGGTAAAACCCAAGACAAAGCTGAGCTAAACCCCCTCGAGATGTGTTACAGCGCAACTGCTGGGTGTTTTGGAAGAAGGGATTGAGGTTGATCTCTCCGTATTTGTTCTGACTGCTGAAGTGCAGCTCAGCCACATCCCACTGCAAGGCGAGACCAGTCCTGCCGAAGGCTTAACGGGTTAAAAGAAACCGACACGAAACGAACTTTGGTCTTGGTCTTGTTATCAGTAATAAGTCTTGGTCAAAGTTGTCCAGTTATCAACTTCTGTGCCATAGAAACACTTCAAGCGAGGACACTAACGCTTTCTGCAGAGGAAAAGCTGGACAGAAAGGGGCATCCAGGATGCCAGAATTTTTTTCCTGGTATTTCTGAACTTGTCTTTGAGGCTTTTTATGGGAATACTCAGACTTAGGGCCCAAACCAAGACAGAAGTATGCTTAAATCCTTTTTAAGCACGTTTTTAAGTACCTTCTGAAAGTGAGCCCACACTGGCAAGACCCATACAAACGTCTGCAGGAACTTTTTGACCCAAGGCTGATGACTTTAATGTTAATCTGAAAGAAACCTGCTCTGAAGCCAGTTTATACTATAAACGACCCACTGGGGTGTATCCTGCATCTCCTGTGCAGCAGCTAGTACTGGCATCTGCCAGGGTGTCGCACTAAGAGGATTGTAGCAACAGAGGGAAACCCTTCTCTTCCCCTTCTCCCCAAAATCATCCTAACTCTTCCCCCACTGGATAAATATCATCTTAATAGGCCAAAGCATGTTGCTCCTACGTTTGTGTACTTTTTTTTTTTTTTCAGCTTTGCTTTGTCTTTATGACAGATGGCACTTAGGAATTAAGGAAAAGGAAGCAAAGCGTGCAGCGGAAGCTAAATTTTGATGTCTTTTTGATTTGATTATTACCTCCTGAAGAGAGGTGCCTACTGCAGAATCTCACCAAGGCTGACAGAAAAGCTCACAAGGGACAGAAAGCCACCACTGAGTAAATGACTGGCACAAAATCTCAGTATAAAAGGGAAACTCTTTTTCCAAGGTCCTCTGAAGGGAATTTAAGCCACACAAACACTTTAGGCTGGGTCTGTGCACGTGGGTGGTTTTCAATAACGTAAATAAAGGCAAAAAAAAAAAAGAAAAAACCCAACTTTCTGAATCTGTCAGGTTTGGTTGGAAAAGGCTTATTTCACCTCCACTTAAAAGAAACTGCTCCCAGTCTCTGTTCCCAACGGTGCTGTCTTTTGATGTGCATACTCCATCTGTAACTGATGTGAAACTCGGTTTTCTTCTGGCGTGGATCAGCATCAATCAACCTTTGCACCCACGGGATGCCCAACACAGCACCTAACCCAGAGCTCAGATAGAGGAGAGGAATAATCTGCTGCTGCCTGCAGAGGCAATGCTGGACCCTCATTTCCAGCTGGTGGTGATACGCTTTATGGAAGGTGCTGAGAATTTGGGGGTTGTGAGTGAGGGGGTTGTCAACACGGGGTTGACCGAACACGTCTGCTAATGCTTTGCAATGACAGTAGTGGAAAAAAAAAAACCAAACGCCAGTATCCTGAATTGCTCAACTTTTACACAGTGCTAGTTGTTTCTAATGCGGTACAGAAGGCAGTGAAAGCTACTGGTGTCATCAGAGCTCCGCTCAAGGTGGGAAAATCTACCCGAGCTACTGATTAAAGAGAGACTCTCTGCTGTGTAAGAGCTTCAACCTCTATCTTATTACTTGTCCCTCAGATCGCTCCCTTTTCTATCTGCCTAGTTGTATATAAGAATTTTTGCATGACTGTAGCTGTGAGAGATGTGCTAGAACAGCTGTGTTGTGACCCACTGAACATATCATGACTATTTTTTCCACTGTCAATAAACACAAGAAAGAAGAGACATTCTCCAACGCTTAGAAAGGCCATGGGTTTTCCTTGCTCCTGTAGCTTGGCTTATTCTTGTAGTAAGGTTTCTCTCCAGTTAAAGCCTCCAGTTGGTCCGTGTGTGAGAGGGAGGATGGGGGGGTCCGTAAGCTGCCAAACACCTGTATCTCCCAGTTCTTCGCATGAACAAAACCCCAAGTATGGAATCTGCGTGGAAAGAGATGGAAAGAAAGGCAGTGAGCAGGGGTTTGGCTGCGGGAGGAAGGAGCTCCCCCAAAAGGGCTGGAGTCCTGCTGTGCTACTGCAGCATTTCACTCTCTTCTCTCTCTTTCCCTCTCCACAAAGTCCGTTTTCAGAAGACGATTGTAGGACTGGAGTGTGACAGCCAGGCTTTGTGCAGCACTGTACGCGCAAAACACTGGGGGAGGTAGATGATACCCTTGGAATGTCATTTAATTACGGGCCAGTTCAAACTAAAGATGTCCCGCTGGTTGACAAGGTCCCAAATCCTGAAAGCCAGCAGGGCTGTGGAGGAGAAATAGGGATGCTGCTCTGGCTCAGGTGTCCTCAGATCAAGTATCAGCTATGAATATCCCAGAGAGCCTGCAGGGCTGGCTGCAGACCGTCCCACCTCCCTAGCCAGGGCGGGAGTGAAGCGATGAAGGCAAAGACCCTGTTTATAATTGTCAGCCCTTTTCCCTGCCCGTTCAAAGGTCTTTAGAGTGAAACGAGAAGGGGAAGTGTTGCGGGGCAGAAGTGCCCTGTTAGCTGTGGTTAGGGTGTTTTCGGCACTGGAGGGCACTGTGGGAGCCCCGTTAGCTACACGCATAAAGCAGAGTCGTGCGAACCCATTTGTAGGTGGGCATCTGATCCCACGCTATCGGTTACAGAAGTGACACGTTAAGATAAGCCTCTTAAACCAATCTGCTTTCCTCTCCTGACTTCTGAAATGGAGTAACGGACAGAATGACTAGACGAGAGGAACAAAGTGTCCTCTGCCTGGTTGAACAGATTTCAAATTTTTTTTTTTTTTTTTTTTTTTTGTAAAGCCAGCGAGCTTTGCTCCTCGCTGGTAATTACCTTTCGGACCATCTGTACAAAGTCCTTGGAGTTCTGCGGCGAGAGCCCTTGGAGCTGGCAGGTGCAAGCCTCCAGGGAGGACGCGTGTGCCACTATCAGGATGTTATTTCCTGAAATAAAGTGCGAAATGCAGGTTGAGGAGGGAGATGAAGCCAGCTTTAGGGACTGCTGCCCCCAAGATCAAGCAGACCAATTAAAATGTTCAAAACGGGTTCAGCTGATTGTATAACAACACGTTAAACTAGGCACATACAGGGAGGAAAAGCACGGTTTAGGAACAGAGCATTTCTCCATTTTCAGGATAATGGTTAACTCAGTGCTACTGAAGTTTAAAAAATGCCTTTCTGAAGAAAACAAGAATTCCAGCGAGATTTCAGCTGTCTTGTGCAGCAAATGCTTTTCTCCTACCCCCAAATTAATTCTGATTAAAACAAGCGCTTTAATTTCAGTTGCTGGTTTTCCATTTAGATTTCCATTTCCAGGATCCTTTACAGCCAATGCCACACTGTGCTATTGAGGTTTGTGTGCAAACTATTAAAAATGAAAGCTCCGATTCAGATCAATGAAATGAAATTAGCAAAATCACCAGGACTTAGAAACGTCCTATTCCTATGCTGTGAATGAAAAATAAAAGCTGTTTTTTTTTTGTTTTTTTTTTTTTAATTTCAGTACTGTGTTTAGAGAAATGTTCTACAGTCTTTATGGGCGATACGGTTCAAAATAGTAGCTCAGATAGGGGATGGAAGATGCCCCATCTGACGCTGGTTACAGGCAGCAGAGTGCAAATGCCTTATTTATTCCCTTGAGAAACAGATGTACTGGGTAGAGATCCCTAAAATACTTCTGCTAGTTAAGTTTATGGACCTTCCTCATAAGCTGAGCATATCTGAACTCAGTTCTAACACATACAGTCTCTGGGAGAGGAGATGAGCGAATCGGGTATGGGGATTCATCTCCCTGAAGAGGGGAAAGACTGGTTACGAGGATTGGCATCCTGGAGAGCCGGTCTCATTTTTCACACCCTCTGTAGCACTCACCTTTGCCTTTACATTCACTGATGATTTCTTTTGTTACTTGGTAGCTTCTACTTATGTATGTGTCATAAGATTCGGAAACCACTAACTTGCTGACAGGAATATGAGGTCTGTGAGCAGAAAAACAAGTACGGTAAATTGTAAGAAGCAATAAAGCTATAAGTGCAAGTTATGATTCATCTGAAAGTATCTGTTTCCTTAACTCTTCTCATTCCCCAAATCCCCAGAAGTGCATCTTACGTCAGGACCACCACGATGATTTTTAAACTTTGTGACTGAGATGTTTGCTGTTCCCACTTTAAGGTATTTCAGTGAGCTGGGGAAAACGATCACTGCTTCCCCTAACATGGGTCGGTTAGTGGAGGCAGCACACGACGTGCTGATGATACCCGAGTTACGTTCGCGATGGCGTGCAGCAATAACAATGCTCCTTGGCATTTATTTAGGCATGTGTCTTCTGAGCAGCGAGAGTTCAGGGCTCACCCACCCGCATAAAGTTACGGAGTGGCAGGAGAACAGAATCTGCACCCAGCAGGAGCTGGCGAGCAGGCAGGGACGGCCGGGCAAGGTCGGTGTCGATGCCACCAGCTCTGCGGCCACAGCAGCGGGATGAGCCACTGTCCAAGCTGTCTCTGCCAGCTGAGGTCTGTGCTGAGCTACCAGGGCTTCCAGCTTAGGGCTGGGCTGGCAACATCTGTGTCTGCCTGCGGAGACCGGGCAGGTACAGGCAGAAACGTGGAGAAGGCAGATGCTGGCTCTCTTCGCTGCTCAGGCTTCGGTGGTGAAAGGCAGAGGCCAACTGCTGCTCTGGCCATCTGTAAAGCTGCATTGCTGGGAAATGCCTGGAATTAGCTGGCTCGAGTGGGCTGATGTGCCCAGAGGAGCAAGGGATAGGAAGCAGAAGGCTCTATTTTCATGCTGTGGTGCAAGGAGAAGTCAGAACTTTTCCCCCCATTCAGTGTTCTGATATATCTACAGGAACTGCCCTTGCGAGAGGAGACAGAGCACCAGGAGGGCTGCATCCCAGACCCCACCTAACCAGCTAAGCACACAAGAGCCGGCTCTTTTCTTGTGCTCACAGTACTTGCTATGGTCTTCTCACATGTTTTCCGAAGCAGAGACTCTCCCATGGTCCAGCTGCTCTGCTGAGCATTAGCCACGTGAGACCATTTCAGGGATAAATACTGTGTAATGACTTCTAGTTAGATACTCTCAGAGTGCTGGGATTTTAGCTGCAGACCAAAAGGATGCAGCACAAGTCATTTATGGTATAATTAGGTCTGAAAAAAATCAGTGATTTTTCTTTTTTTCTTTTTTTTTTAAATTTTTTTCTTTTTCAACTGCTTATTCCACTTGAGGGTTCTTAAACACATGGGTGCACTGAGACACCAGGAAACACCAGTGTTTCTGCTGATACTATCAACCACAAAAGCCCAGCCACAAAATATTCATCACCAAGCCCACGTAGGTGGAACTCCTGTGTACGTATACTATGTGTGTCTGATAAATGTTTTGTTTTTATCTGAGATTGCTCAGCCAGTGATCAGGCACACACTAAGATAGAGAGGGCTGGTCCCCGCAAGAAGTCATAGCGGTACAGATATTTCAGCGGTGAGGTGCAGTGGAGGACTGGAACTGTGTGAACTTTCTGGACTTTCCCTCTTTGTGGGAGCTCTTTGAGTCTGGCTTGTATAAATGAATCATAAATTTGAGAATAAGAAGCCTGAACAGATCATCTTGCCTGTTCTTTGCCACATGACGGTTTCTGCTGGGTTTTATTGAGCCTTTCTTCCTGCAGCTTAGAGTGAAAAGCTTTTGTGTGTTAGGCTGAGGCGCCACGGCTGCGATGCCGCACTGGGGAGTCAGAAGGGGCTTGAGTTTCCCTCCAGCCTCAGGCTGCAGGTTGCTCCCAGCGGCCCCGTGGTGTTTGTTGGCCATGGCATTGGGGTACAGGCATGTGGCTGGACACAGGGAGAGCAGCGGAGGCTGGCAGGGCAGGAATTCAGGAGATGGAGCCTAACCAGGCACCAGGACTGAGCTGTGTGGCCGCAGGGGTGGCTGGCAAAAAAGCCAAGCTCTGCAACGGCCAGCTCTGCGCTTCTGGAGTGGGTCTGTCAGGGCCCTTGAAAGCCCAGAGAATTATTTTTGCGTTTCCCTTTTCTGCAGGGTGGGAGGAAAGATCAGTGGTGCTTATCCATTTGCCATTCAAATGGTTTTTAACCAGATGCTTACTCTGTTTGCTTTCACCAACTGTTTTTCGGTTGAATACCATGAGAACTTGAGTCGGAAACCTGCTATTTTTTTTCCAGTAAAAACTTCTCGGATGCAATTGCTGAGAAGTGAGCAATGCTTAGGGTTAAGCTCTCTGATAGAATAGCTCTGAATTTTGATGTCCTAGCAGACCCGGAATTCCTGACAGATGTAAACATGTTCCCCAGGGTGATGCAAAATTTACAATTAAGATCCATCACCATGCTAATCGTAACAGAGAGACAGACAAGCTTTTTTCCTCTGGGGAAGGGAAAGGCCGGGTGTGAATGAGCCCAGGATCTGGTTCAACTTATGAACATGATGGTCAGGGAACTAAGCCAACAGAACTAGTTCTGTTAGCTGAGCCCAAACTCCTCCAAGATTTAGGAAATAGGGTTAAAACAAACAAAAATACTTTGAGGGTTTCCTGGACACCTGAAAGATGCCCAGGATGGAAGGACTACTGGAGAGAGAACCTCCATGATCAGCAAGATAGCTGGACCTGTCGGTGACCTGGGAAATCTGGTTTATAAGAAGCTGTTCTCAGGCCTCGAGCCTGCTCCAAGTTTATTCTGGGAGCCTCAGCAGCTCTTCCAGTCGTTGCCTAAATTTAAAAACTCAGCAGAGTGTTACTTTTCAAAAACAAAAAGCAAAGCCAAGACCCTCTCAGCCCCTTTTTTGCTACCTGTAGGTTGTATCAACGCTTAGAGTAGCTGCAGCTAAATCCACGGGGGGGATCCAGGCAGGTAGTGTGTTCCCAGAGACCCACTTGGTCCATTCAAACAAGCCTGGCTCTATTCGAATTTTCAGGTTGTTCTCTTGTTGCATACCTTGAGAAGGGAGAAAGGAGACCAGGCATCAGTGAAAGTAGTTGGGGAGAAAGGCAGCAAGACTTCGCAGCTTTAATTCTTCTGTTTGATTGTAAGGTGTTTTTGTTTTGTTTTGTTTTTTTTTTTCCTTTCTAAATAGTCAGTTGATTAATAGTTGGTATGAAAGATGAAGTATTTAATATATGTACTTGGTATATGATATGCCAGGGAATGTAAACCTCTGGCTGGCAGCTACGTGCAATACACTGAACCTAGGCACGCCTGCATTTTGGAGCTGTTTCTCGACTGTTTCCAGTGCCAGGGCATCTCGTGCCTCCGTGGCTACTTCCCTTCCCAGTTTCTGCAGTCAGTTATTCTTGCTGAGGGTGGGAAGTTTCTTGGTGGGAGCAATTGCTGTGGGAGCAGGCAGCAGTGAGCAGCCGCAGGAGTGTGAGTGGGCACGGACACAGGGCTTGCTGAGCTGGCTGCACCCACCCACCCTGACAGCACATCTGGCTTCTGCAGGGGGGAATAAACCCACCCCTGGCCAGCAGCCACTGCCAGGGCCAGGGCCAGGGCCGCTGCTTGTCACACCATGCAGTCAGAAAAGGGCTCCTTATGGGCAGCGTTTGCTAACGGGAAGGATGCTCCCACGGAAATCATCCTCACCCTGAACTGCCATCTCCTTGGGTCTCCCAGGCCAGGTTCCCTTTTATCTGGTTGGCAGCGTTTTCCCCAGAAAGCGAGGAGAATTGCAGCCCTTCCTGCTCGTTGGGTTCTTACCTTTCAGAATATTGTGTGCTGTCTGTACACACCGTAGGGACGGGGAGCTGTAGATGTAGTCTACAACGGTGTTTGTTTCTAGCAAGGCTTCACCTGCAAGCAGATTTCAACGCCCGTGAATCAAAAGGGACAAATGGCGTTGTGACAGCAACAGCAGCGTGCAGGGAATCTGCCACCCAGCGAGGAGCAAAAGCAGCTTCCCAGCTGCACTGCTTCTGTTTTGGGAAATATGTGTACCCATCATGTTTTATTTCAGCGGTGTGTCGGGCACTGTGATGCGCACAGCTGTGGAACTGGGATACATTTCCCAGTGTGCGCTGCTCCACGTGCGTTTAGGTACTTAACCAGCGTGCAAAGAAACCGCAGCAGCTTTTGCTCAGTTTCTGCTTCCCTTAGATTTAGCCAAAAAGCAAACAGCGAGCTGAGAAAAAAAAAAAATCGTAGAGCGCTTGAATTTAATTTAATTTCATTTATAAGCTGTAAATCAGAGTGATTCAACTTAACTCAAACCCAACTTAATTCAATTGGCTCGATTCTTCGCTAGTATAAATTACCATTTCATTACACAGGTGGGAGATCACTGAAAATGAGATAAGAATCAACTCCACTATTAGGGTTATTAATATTCTTGCAATGCCAAAGGAAACCAAATGAGAACAGGAATCTGCTCAGCATTGCACAGACTTGTAGTAAGAAGGAGTTATATTTTTGTTGTATTTGAAGAGGCAGGACAAAGAAGTGGGAGCAAGAAGGGGTTATTAACCTTGACTTGGTGTGTTTAATGATGGCTGTAATCATGTCAAGCCCATCTATAAATCTCTTGAGAGAAGTGGGGTAATTTAGAAGGAGCGGCACATCTAACAGCCCTCCGTCACGGGGAAGCTGCTCGTTGGCTTTAGTCATCGGAGGAATTACGGCGCCGGCGATCGTCGAGGTCACGTCTGCGGCGCTGCGGCTCCATGGCCTCGGGGTCACGTCTGCAGTTGCATCCTCAGACCCGTTTAATGACACCAGCCAAGTGTGCTGTGATTGCTCCCAGATTCGCCTTCTGTTACGGGCGTATTGCAAACCCCGATGCCATGTGGCCGGGAGTCTGAGCATCCTGCTGTTGCACAGTGATTTATTTTTGTTTAAAAAGCAAGTTTAATTTTAGCTGCCCTAGTTCGAATGTGACCAACACAAAGTACTCTAAAGGGTTTGAATTTGGGAAAATGTGAAGTACTGCTTTCTGAAGCGCGTGTCTTCAAGGGGCTGGGCTCCCCTCATCACGATGCTTAATATGTGCTCTTTGACTGCCAAATAATTTTCTGTCTATACACAAACCACCAGGCTCAGAAGTTGGGGGACAAGGATGGGGGAGCAAGAAAACACTGGAAATAATTTGGACGGTGTGTTTGCCACAAAAACATAAAGCCAGACAGGCTGTTAGAAGTATATTGGTGTAGCAAACTGCAGGTCAAAATTTAAGATTGTCAAAGTCAAGGAAAAAGTATATTTTGCAGGAGGTAACTGTCGCCCTGCTGCGTTTCTCACCGGCGTTGGTAATAAAAGCATCTTCCAGCATGGCACGTTTACAGGGCGGTAGCGAATGCTCTGCACCCGCACTGCTGATGGCTCTGATTTCATACCGTGTCCTAGATTTTGTGCTTTGCCTTTTCTCCAGCTGCAGCAGCTGAAGGAGACAAGGTTTCCTTTGAAACGGAGGCCTCGCTGGGGAAGGTGAAGGGACTTTGCAAAGGTCATTGAAATGTCTAAATGCCCGGGTGGCCAAGAAAGCCAATGGCCTCCTGGCTTGTGTCAGCACTGGTGTGAGCAGCAGGAGCAGGGAGGTGACAGTCCCCTGTGCTCGGCACTGGTGAGGCCACACCTGGAGGGTTGTGTCCAGGTTTGGGCACCTCAATCCCAGAGAGATCTGGAGGGGCTGGAGCGAGGGCAGAGGAGGGCAACGAGGCTGGGGAAGGGCTGGAGAATAAATCCTGTGAGGAGCCAGGGAAGGAGCTGGGAGTGTTCAGTGTGAGGAGGAGGAGGCTGAGGGGAGCCCTCATCCCTCTCTGCAGCTCCTGACAGGACATTGCAGAGAGGCCGGGGCTGGGCTCTGCTCCCAGGGGTCAGGGACAGGACAAGAGGGAACGGCTGGAAACTGCCCCAGGGGAGGGTCAGGCTGAGCAGGAGGAGAAAATGTTTCCCAGCAAGTGGTCAGAGAGTGGAACAGGCTGCCCGGGGAGGGGGGAGTCCCCATCCCTGGGGGGGGTTTAAGGGCCGTTGGGATGAGCTGTGGGGGATGTGGGGTAGGGGAGAACTTTGTAGAGTTGGGCTGAGGGTTGGGTCTGATCCCAAGGGTCTTTCCCAACCTGAATGATTCTGTGATAAATCCTGTTAGTTCAGGGCACCCGCTTCATTTTTTTCTGCCTTGCACTTTCTCTGGCTGGGCGTGTGGGAGGAAGACAGCAAAGCTTCCTGGGCAAGGACAACTTACCAACAAGCCTTGCCTGCGTACAGCCCAGCACGGTGATTGGTGCATCTTTTTCATAATCCCTGAAACCGCCACTTCTTTGAGGTAAGCTGTGAGGCATATTCAGGTTACTACGCATATACCTTCCTGTGAGGGAGAGGTTAGAAGCAGTTGCTGGAATTATTTGATCAGAGAAAGGCAAAGAGCACCACGCCCGTCTCTACCCCCTTTCACCACAACGTCTGCACCTTGCAGGCATTGCCCAGGCCTGGCTGTTGAGTAGTTTTTCCCACGTAAAACTATCAGGAATCTGATAAAATGAAGTTTGTATCCGTTCACAATCAGCAGAGAACACTGCTAACTTTTTTTGAAGTTATCTTTAGGACAGATTTCCCCCAAAGGAGCATAATTTCTACCCCACAACGAAAGAAACCTCAAATGTTACACTTTTACAGGAGGCTAAAATGTCAGAGTTCTTCAAACGTAATTTCGAAAGAAGGTAGTTGTAAAGTCATCCTTTTTTCCAGTGATTTTGACTGCAGGATATTGGCAGTTTTTGGACAGATTTTAAGACTTTTTAATAGACAAATTTCTGAGCAGCTCTAGTGCCAACAGAGCCTGAAGTTATAGTCTGTTAACTGTAGTCTGAAAGTCAAGCACAGTACTGGGTTGCAAACTCCATCTTCTGCCCCAAAAGTCACCCTGAACTGTACCCGGTGGTGACGTTTTCATCTAGGACAGAGAGCCAACCGTGCAAAACGTCTTCCTGATGGTAGAGGTTTGCGTTGGACACTGACTACTGACATCATGACTTCATTTCCAAAATGAAAATGTTCTTTGGCAACGTTACTTTAATGCAATCTTTCCTACAGTAGTTTCCCAAATATTAGCAAACGTAGTGTTTACTCCCTGGCTTGTGTTTCTGCTTTGGACTGCAGCCCTGCCATGGCAGAGCTCTGCACTGAGCTGCTCTGCAGCTCTGAACTGCTCAAAGCAAGACTTTGTGTTAGGAAATCACAGCTCCCATCTAAGCTTGGCCCCAGGCAGTTGCCACTCTCCATCCTTCATCTAAACCTAAATCCCGAGAGACCCATGGGAGCTGACTCACCTTTGGCATCAAAACACTGTGACAACCAGTATTTCCCAAAAACGACATCCATCCTTTCCCCATGTCTGCAGACAAACAGGCAGCGTTTCTGAGGCCCTGGCTGGCTGGTTATTCTCAGGGGCTGGAAGAAAAATTACAGGATGTTTGACCTTCATCAAAGTGCAAAGGTTTTTCTGAGATTCGAATTTACTAATGGAGTCAGGACCGGGCACCTCTTGTGTTACCTTTTCGCAAATGTGGGTACAGGAAAACTGTTCTGGAGCTGGTGAATTTATACTGGTGTAACACAGGTAAAGTGAGCAGAGGGTGGGGTCCTGCTGCCCCATGCTAAGAGCAAGTTTGGGGACAGAAGTGTCCTCTGTGCCTGTGGTCATTCAAAAGCTTTAACTCCTGACGCAGGCAGTGAAAGGAGACCAGAGGATAAGTTGTTGGGGAAAACCCGGTTGCTGGAAACTTGCCGCTAAAACTATGTGTGATCTACACGTGTGTGTGGGTCCCTACCTGCACGTTCTGGCAGATGATAGTGAGGGGCCCTGCATCCCCAGGGCCTTGGTCTTCCTGCTGTCTTCTTTCCAGAGCTCCGTCAGTGAAGGCTTGAAGGGATGGGGAAGACGTAGTATTCAGAATTGAGTAGGACCTGCCAAAAATAGAAAGATGTTGGCTTTGGGAGTGCTTTGGGCTTCATGTGCTTAAGCTGCAGTAAGGACATTTCTGTAGTCTTCAGGAACTGATGATATGTTGTCATGTCATTACATTCTTATTTGTATTTTAGTGCTGTGAGAGAGAACCTTGCTAGGTGATGTACACACGCGAAGAGACAAATCCCATCTCAGCAGGCTTTCTGTTTCCTTAGAAACAGTTTCACAGAACAACAATTCCCAAACTTCGGTCTGTGAGGGCTCTGTCGGCCCTCAAATATTCTGATGGAAAATGCCAAGACCTTCCTCACAGCCACAGGGTGCTCACTAACATCATCTGGGGACCAGCTGCACGTTACTAACCATGGTCTTGTGGACCAACGTTTGGAAACTAATGGGTACGGGGTTTTCCCTCACCTTTGTAGCAGAAGCTGTTGCTTCAGTAGAAAGCTGTAGCACAGCCCTGCCCTGGGCAGTTTTCAGGGTTCCCGTGCACCGAGTAGCTTGTATCCCCTGGCAGGGACGTGGCACGCTCAGTCTGGGTTATTTCTACATTTTTCAGTCCTGCCTATTCTGTTTTTCCATCTATAGTGGGAATTTATTCTCACCAGTGCTTCTTGTTCAGTGTAGTCAATGGGATATAATAGATCCCGTTCTCTCTCAAGGGACTTATTTAATGATGGTTCCTCTCGTGTCCCGACATTCAAGGACTTTGACCAAGACCCTTGGGAGTAAACTCTGACAGGCAATTACAGAAGCTGCAGTGACCCTCTGCTGATTAATTTACATTGCATGGGTTACATTTGCTTAGTCATTAAAAAACCCCGTCGTCAGATAATGTATATGGTCATTTACTTTGACAGAAATAGTTGCCATTGCTTGCACTTTTCAGTGCCTTAAATATGTCAGGAGTTGCTTCCTGACTAACACCTGGTTAGGATAAAATCTCAGAGGGGTTTCATAGCTGTTAAATTACACCAAGCGCCTCTACTGATTGAACAAAAATAGGTCATCTGCGTTTCTGTAAAAAAAAAACCCCTCATCTTCTGCAAGATCATATGATTTGCACCAGTTTAAAGAAGAAAATACCACACTGTTGGTTCTGATGTTGGTCCCTTATCTGGTGGAATTAGGGTGCAAGGATGAGACTGAGGTACTTGGCTTATTCTGTCGGGTGAAGATGCCACGCAGGGAAGCACTGGCAGGCGAGGGGAGCGGGAGGTGGGAGGTGTCCTGGGGACAGCACTGCTGATCCCCATCCAGCAGCGTCAGGCCGCGGCTGCCGTGGGCACAGCCCTCTGGCAGCAGACAGCCTCTCCAGCCTCCTGCTCTTCAGCCCTGACCTTCTAGGTTTACAGATTCTTCTAACTGTATTTATTTTATTCATGGTGAGTTCCCAACAAGGACTGGGCTTGCTCCAGAAACCGTTCCTCTCGTTGCCCAAACGAGCATCGGAGGTCAGGGCAGCAAATACCTCTGAGTTAGGCACAGTACGACGCCGAGGGGCGGTGGGTCTTGAAGAGGAGTTTAATGAAGCTTTGTGGATAAGCTGAGGGAAATCACGTCTAACCCTCCTCCTCCGAATATTGCAGGCAGAAGTACACTCGGACCACACCTCCAGCTGGCAGGATAAGGCCAACTCTGATCCCGGTGCTGCCTGAGTGCATTGGTGTGTGCCAAGCCCAGGGTGGCTAAGCCCTGAGGGGGCACGCATGGACATTTATCACTGTGTTAAGTGAGCTTGGAGCGCAGGTGCAGCTAGCATCGATACATCCTCACCGACCCAAAAACTCGAGTATCTCAATAGGAGAAGAATCAGAATTTCTGAGCTAGAACCCATCTATATTGCTGTACAAAGAAGATCTTGAGCCTGAACTCTTTGTCTTCGCTTGTGTTGCAGCTTCCAGCCCCTCCTCTTGTCTCAGCCCTTTCCTGCTTTGCCCGTGACAGTCTTTTAAGGACGCTGGCCTGGAGAATACTAAGTATTTGTTTGGTTACTCCTCTTCCCCTTACCCCCAGGAGCTGCTGCACAATTTCTGAGACCACCTTTCTCTCTAAGTCTTTATTAAAAGGCCACAAATGCTTTCCTATCTATCTATAGATGCTAGGATTCGCTGCAAATGATGAAGAAGCAAAGGCATACTACCTTGCTGTGTCTGGAGGAGAGCCACCAGCCTGTCTTCAGCGGCATCTCCTTGATGTCGCTGGAAAACAGAAACCGCTGAAGCTATTTCAGCTTAGTCATCTTCTAAGCATAGGTCATTGTTTGGAAGCTTTTTCCGAAGGCTTGTGGTTCCTCTGCTTGGCAAACACACACTGAAGGCAGACAACAACGTCTAGTGTCTTCTGGATGATGCCTTGCCTTCACCGCTCTGTCAGTGACACTGCTGTGTCCCTGGAGGCAATGTCCTCCCAGTCAGGAAAGAGCCCTTGGAGAATGGAGGTGCTGCAGCAGAGGATGGAGAAAGGGTCTCTGTCGTGGCACAACAATGCTGGTCCTCAGCTCTTTGTAGGAAAAGACTCCTCTGCTGCATCACTCATCATTACCTAGAGGAGAGGGATCCCTGGGGAAAATGAACCAGCCACTGTTGTAGAACAAGAGGAAGACAGAGTGGAAAAAAAAACAACAAACTACTGAGCCCCAAATATAGCTTGAAAAATTAGGGCTGTTTTTCTCCCCCTGGTACTTGTGCCAAGTCTGATTTCTCAGGCTTATTAAAGGGGCAAAGAATAGCTTTGGCATCTCACAAGGAGCTGAAATAGACTGTGGTGTAATATCTACAGCACTTCTACCCATTTTGGGGCAGAGGAGGTGACTATTTCCGGCTTTGCTTGGGAACCATCCCAAGTTTTAGCTTTTGGGTAGTGCTGGGTCCACATGCAAAGACAGCACACTTACTTCTGCCTTACGCCTTTGCGTGCATATGTGGAGAGCCTCATGGTCTTGAATGCTTGGGTTTTGTGGCTTCTATGGGGCAAGTAAATTCCTGCACCTTCGCTGGGCTTCCCGCCTCCTCTGGGCTTGGTGTGCGGAGGGTGGAGAGTTTCTTCTGTTGACTTGGCAGCCCACTAGTTTTCAAGCATGAAAGGCAACTTAGAAAATACCCTGCAAGCAGTTTGCTGGGGAGCTTTTAAGGTGGATATGCATATATATGTATTAGCATATCTATCTATCTATCTATCTATCTATCTATCTATATATCTATATATATATATATCTATCTTGGATACTGCATCTGTAGTTTGGATTCACTCCAAGTACTTTCAGCTCACCAGGAGCTTCTGCTGCTTCCAGGAGAGGATTTCCACCTTCATAAAGGGGGAGAATTATTTTTATTTTACCATGCCTGTGGGCAGGTCCTCTCCTAGGCTCAGTCAGAACAGATCTGACATCCATATAAACACAACTAAGATGACTGCAGTGCTTGGTTCCGAAAGGTTATTTTTCACTCGCACACCCTTACTGAGGAGATGGCCAGAATGGGTTACACAGACATAGGATCTGGGTTGCATTGTGTGGGATGCTGAAGCAATTTATCTTCAAGTACTTTCCAATCTTTAGCACTGATCAGAGATCGAATGTTGCTCCTCACTGTTACCGGCAGGTCCAGTCCTTGGCATGAGAAGAAATCACGCAGGGATGTGCCACAGCAAAGAAATATAGTTTAGGTGTATGGAAAACCCCTGAGGTTTGCAGAATAGAAGTGGTCCATTCTTATTCTGAGTAGACAGGGAAAGGATTCAGACCTGGAGTCTCTCAAGACACAACCTGGTTTCCTGGGCAGTATTTCTGTCTCGAAGGCAAAGCCTTTCCTCCCCTGTTAGATCACCAAGCTTCACTGCTGGTCTGCAGCCATTCTATAGGGCAGGGACACCTTTCTGTTGCATGTTTGTCCAGCGGAAGGTCCGTGTGCTGGGCAGAGCTCTCGAGGCACTATTTGGATATTAGCCATAAAAGCCATGTCCTGCAAAGGCCACGCATTTCGGCACCTGCCTCGCTTGGGCAGCGCAACAGGGAAACCTGTTTTTTTCGGGTGAAATGTGCAGGAACTAGCAATTTAATTCTGCTGTATTAAAAATTTCGATCAGATATCCCAGAATAGCATTTTGCCTGTCATCTCTCTTGCGTGGTATAGCCAGGGTGCTGCAGCCTGGAGTGAGCTGTATTTGCGTGATGATCTCAATAATGCATGATTTTCACTTGAAGAATGCAGTCTCTGGTGACTAGGAGGGAAAGCTCCATGACTCTTTCTTTCTTTCTTTCTTTCCTTTTCATCCTCTGCAGAGATGAAACGGGACATGGCTGTGTACACAGAGGCAGCACGAGCCAGCCCCCGGGACCACGACACCGCTCACCGCTCAGGGTGCCAACAGGGTCCTGTCTCCTGCAGTCCCGGTGAGTACTGCCACGCTTTCTCTCATGCTCATGAAATGAAGGTATCTGTGTGCCCTTCTCTTACCCCGAGGATCCTACCATCAATACCGTGGCCGAGACAGAAGCGGGGCTTAGGCTGTCCTTAGCTTGCTATTCTTTTGACCACATGACATTCTGTAACCTAATATTCCCTACGGGAAGCTGCTGTGTAAAATGAGGCTGTTTCCCGGTATGTAATAATGTTTTTGATAAATGCTCCATATTGCATGCTCCAATTAATGATTTATAGTCTTTAGCAGTAATCAGGGAAGGGGCATTTCCTTCCTTTGCTTGTCTGGAGGCAGAGGTGCTGGAGTTACAAAACATTTGGCTTTCCTTTTAGTTGCTGCTGCAATAGTAATTCTTTCCCATGCTACTCTCTAGGCCTCAAAACTCTTCCAGGCACTGTAAGAAAAAAAAAAATAGAATCCACTAGAGCAGGCTGCTGCAGTGTATGTGGACCTGAGACCATTTTGGCCGGCAAATTTTAGGGGGAGAAAGGATGGTTTTGCAGGATTGTGGATTGGAGGGTCTGGATTAAGTCCTGTCTTCATACAAACACTCCGATTGACTTCGCTCAGGAGTCTTGGTTTTCATTTCTTTAAGACCGGGTTAGTAGAGGTCTTTTCTTTCCTCATAATGAAAGATGAGCTGGAGTTTTGCAATGACAGACCCAGTATAGACAGGTTTGTTGGGCTAACGTATGGATGGAAGCCCTTTATTAGTGGTGTGCATTTCTCAGAGGGCAGGCAAGAAAAAAATAGATGGTTGTGACAAATGAGTGATCTCTTGCTACGCTTGTCCCCGCCTGACAGACTTGTGGGTTGGGGAGGACTTGGGGCCAAACCAGGGCTGGTGTACAGGAGGGCAGTGGTCGGTGGCAGTCACATCTGGAAGCCAGCCTGCAAGCTGTGATTGCCCTGTGCCTGCTCTCCGTCTGTCGTTCGCCACATTGCATCAATGAATGAAAAGCCACAGGCAAAGAAAAAGGCTGCTTGCCCTTTCTGCTCTTTCGGTTTCCTGCATTTTGCTCGATTTGAGGAGTTGTTGGATCAGTTTTTATTCGAGTGCCGAGTTAGTTCCCCTGGCTGTCCTGTGCTGACACGGGTTACAGAACGCCTTCCCTTTGGGCTCAGAGACCCTCTCCACAGGTCATGCTTGCCCACTGAAATCTGAAATCCAAACTGTGTTTTGTTCTGTATCTCCATCCCTGCGCCGTGTAACTAACCTGCCAGCTGGCGTGACTGTAACCAAGGGGCAGCAGGCAGGAATGCGCCTCTCCTCGATGTCTTGTGCTCTTACATACAAACTATTCCCTACGCTCCAGGCTTGTCAAAGGTGCTTTTGGTGCTTAGAGATGCAGGCAGCCTTGCAGGAGTGCCCAGAGCCACCCCTCAAGCACTACCTTTTTTTTTTTTTTTTAATTGCTGTTTAACTAACTCCTATCAAAATGAAGAGGCATCAGGCATAACCTTAATCAAAAGCTGAGGTCTGCATTCTCACTGCTGAAGCCACTGGCAGGCAGGCAACTAATCGCTTCTGAAAATCTTGCTAAGAAATATTTCTGATCCCAAGTGCTTTTCCCCAGAGAATTATACACAGAAGATCTCACTTCCCAAATTAATGCTCAATTGTAAACCTTCCTGATCCTAGTCCCACCGCAGAGGTATCTACACAGCAGTGGCTCTACAGCGGCCATCTGCTCCGGCTCCGTTACCCACCAGCACCGATCCTATGAGTAATAGTTGCTGTAACATCTTAGCTAAATAAATCACATCGTCCTCTAATCCCATGCACAGGGATAGCATCTGCTCTTCCTTTGCTTATAAAATGAGGATTTGTGTGCCAGTATGTTTTCCCCAAGCAACCTGCTCAGCAGCCCTGGGAGATTCTTCACTTACCCAGGTGAAATCACAGCTGCTGAGCCCCCTTTTTACAGTGATGGAAACTGGACTGAGCAGCTTTTTACCTACCCATGAAACACCCAGGTCCCACATTCATCCGCCTTCGTGATGTAATTTTCAGGCAGTAGCCCAGAACAGCCAGTTGCAAGGGAAATGCCATAAATCCAGCCCTCACTTGTACTGGTTTGTTCCACTGGGGACATGAAAATAAAATCCCCTGGGACCAGCTCCAGTTCATCATCATTCTGGGGGGTGTAAGGATAGATCACTTGCAGAGTCTGGGGGAGAAACAGAAGCACAAATGAAAGAAAGGATCGTTAATGGGAGGGAACCTTTAGCAGAGTGGGGCAGGAGCTCTGGTCCTATACTGGACCTTTAATCTTAGCAAGATGTGAGCATTCTTCTTGAAGTGCATCACTTTGTGCTTTATCCAGGAAGGATTTACCTACAGGGAATTCCTGCCATTCCCACTCTTTGCTGTTGGAAAGCTTTTCCAGTTATTTACTCCTTCCCTCTTTGATTCCAGTCGTGTCTTTGATAACCAGGATGCAAGGGGTGTGTGTGATTTTTTTTTTTTTTTGAGCAAGCAAAACCATGACCGTGTGCTTACATCTAATCACCCTGTTAAAAATGGAACTGAATTCTTATTGGGATGTGGAATTTACCCAGCTGTAGTGGTCCGTGACCATCTTTGGTTTACTCACTTGTGCTTGATCTGAAAGAGCAGCTCTCCTTGTTGCTGTTGCTTCTGAAGACAAAGGGGGGGGGGTGGTGGTGTAACAGGTTTGATTCTGTGACTCCCTGCTCTCAAAACTGTTCATGAGAATGCACAAGGAGAAAGGAGAGGTGGGGAGAGATACTGCGATGTGGCTGCGTTGGTTTCTTTGAATTTCCTAACATGGACAGGGTTAAGTTAAAAGATGGGGGAAAGACCGGTGAGTGTAATTCTTTAATCTTGCCTTCACTGGAGCATGAAGAATCCACACGTATTAAATACCCATCAGCAACTTTCCTTGGAAATGGCTACAGCAGTCCCCCATTTAAAAGGGGAACAAATGTGTTACTGTCCCTGGCCAAGCCCAACTTCTCCAGTGGCATCGTGCAAAGAAAAACCATAATCTGCTGAGCAGCTCCAGTCTCCTGATGGTGTCAGCCTGTTTGCTCGCTAATCCTCCTTTAGACTATTTGTGGTATCTTCAAAGGATACTAGTCACTGTCACCTGATACCACAAGGCCAAAACTTTCACACATGGCTGCCTGAAGTTAGATATGCAAAGATGTGTGCTGGTTTTCATCAGCAGCTCCCTCTGCAGTAAGTGATAGTGTTGACTACTTGCAGCTTCTAAAGGACAAGACGACTCTTTGGGTAGGAAAGGAGGGATGGGAAGCATGGCCCAGGGCGGTCAGAGCATCCTGCACGAGAAACCTCAGCTCTCCAGAAGATTTGGCACCTATTTACTCTGTGGTGTATCGTGTGCTGGACTAAAATAACTTTTTCCCACTCTGCCCCAGGTTTTGTGTGTCTGATTCTGGACAATGCACTTTGGTGGGGTTAATCACCCCAACACTAGGAGTCTGGTTTGCTGCCAAAGCCTGAGCAGGCACCTTCTGGAGGTTCCCTCCTCCAGGAGTTGATTCATCTTGTTCTGAGCTAGACATCTTAGGTAGGTCAGATGACTCACTTTCTGGAGGTGCCTGTTTCTCCACACTGAGCCTCGGAGCAAAGACCAGCTCAGACTTAGAGGTCTAAAGTGGGGACATTTACAGGCAGGTGAGGTTAACCTCACGTGTGGTTTCTCTGTGCCCAAGATCCCAATCTACAAAATGGAAATATTATTTTTTTGTATATTGTGTTGGAAAACAACGTGTTAAGACACTTATATACTGCAGTTATAGAATCCATATGAGTAATTGAAGTACACGGGCCATGAGGGTAAATGTTTCTCAGATGATGAAACTAAATGCTGTGATTAATAATAATAATAATGTCAAGTTTGTACAGAAGAAATGAGTAGTGGTCAGGTTAAGATACTGGTCAGGTTAAGATACTGGTCTGGTTCTTGAGAGTTCAGACCAGCTTAGGTTGAGCTAACATGAGAGTCACTGTTAGAATTAACCCAGCTGGACAGTGTTCCCACAAGAAGCAAGAAATGAGGTGGGTGAAACAGCAAGTCTAGGCAGTGTAAGTAAAAAAAAAAAAAAAAAGGCAAGATGGTCTGTTGGCTAAGATGGCTGGTGAGATGTGGGAGATCTATGTTCTGGGTACCCCTGTGGCAAATTCCTTACTGCCTGCGCAGCCTGTGCCGCGTATCCATACAGCGCTCAGCAGGGGACACGGGTGTCCTCATTCACCTTGCAGCTTGTGAGCACTCTTGAGCTGTGAATGCAGCTAAAACAGCCTGCGACTCTGCTAGATTTTTTTTTTTTTTTGACTGAAACAAGCTCCAAAAACTTACCTCGTGATTAACGAAGCGTATGTCTCGGGAGAATATCGCAGCGACCCAGTCGCAGCCCAGCTTGACGTCGATGTTCTGTGCTAACTTCTCCAGGGTGGGCAGGTGGCTGGTCTGGAAGTGATAGGCCAGCGTCACGTGGAGCTGCTTCTTGTGGGGCTCCACGTGAACATCTGCAATGAGAAGATGTCAGTTAACAACAAGAGACAGTCGAGATTAGCAGCTTGCTGAAGGTCTAAGAGCGTCTATCACTTCTGAACAGGAGCGGGGAGCCAAACTTTTCAAGGCAGCTCAAGTGGAACCAATCGTAGGCCAGTTTCTGAAAAGGCTTTTGGAGAAGTCAAACGCGAGTTCCCTATGCATGTTGCACCTTGGATCAAATTATTAGAGATCCGTGGTCTGATTCAGTCCTGAGTCACGCCAGGGTGGCAAACAAGGCAACCAACTGCCAGAGCTCATTTGCATTCAGAGAACAACGGGTATCTGAATGGTGTGATAACAATTAATGTAATTTTGAACCCAGTAGGTCTTCTGCCAAAAAAGACACTTTTCCAGGAAAGGGGTTGACTTTCTTTCATTAGCAGATGAGGATCTCTCCAAATAAGCAAGTAAAAATCTTCATTTTTCCTCTCCCTCCTTTGTTCTCTCTCCTACATTAGCAATTACGAATTCAGGGAATTTACAGGTTCGTGCAAGTTCATTAAATCTTTTCCCTGCACATCAGTTGGATTACCAGTTTGCCCACTGAAGGTGAGGTATTCCAATATGAGGCAACAGACAATGATTCAAAATGATCCTGCAGAAAAAGAATCTTTATTAGGAAAAGATTCCAGGAAGCAGAAAGGTGAAAGTATGGGAAATATTGGACTCTTCCACTAGACATGGAAATCATAGGATACATTGTTTGCATGTAATTTATTCTTGCTTATTCAACCAAAAATTGCAATTAAATTTGACTGATTATTCAGTCAAAATTGCAGCTATTCAGAGACTCAGATCTAAGTGCCAGCCAGGGGTAGCTCTGCAAGCTCATCCATCTTTTTTTTTTTTTTTTTTTTTTTTTTTTTTTTGATCAGCAAGAAAAAAATATGCTCTGTATCTCTGAAAAAGCCCCAGAGACTTTAATGTGATAACCTGACCAAGCTGTGGACTGCAATGCAGCAATTGGCTTCCCCTAGGAACAAACCAGTTTGGTCTGAACCGCAGCAGTTGCAGGGGCAGAAGCTTTGCTGGGAACCACTGACGCTTCCTTCTTCTGGGCTGGTGTTTTCGGAGCGAGAACTGCCCCTTCTGACCGTGTTGGTTTGGAGGGTACGTCTATGCTGTGCAGGGGGACACTTGTACCATTCTCACACGGCTCCAGCAGTCCTTGGACCCACCCAATGTTGCCGTGCAGGTCGCTGCTTTCCAAAATGTGCATTTGTAAAGATAACAGCCGTTTCCTCCCTCTTCTAAATGGAAGAAAGATTCTAGGTCACCGTCAGGTGAAAGCAATGCATTTCAGAGGTGTTAAGAACCTACGACACATCCGTATCTCTTCCTCTGAACCAGGGGCAGAGACGTGCAGCGGTTCTGCATGGTGCTACGGGGTGCCTGACTCGCACAGGAACACCCAGGGACTCAGAAGTTGCCGTATCTTGATGTGCTGAAACCCCAGGATAAGCCTGTGATAACGAAGGACTAAACCAGTTGTGCTGTGACTAGTCCAGGCTGAGCGACAGAGGGTGAGCGGATTAGTCAGGGAGCTTATTATTTTTCCCACTCTGCTCCAGGTTTTGTGTGTCTGATTCTGGACAACGCACTTTGGTGGGGTTAATCACCCCAACCTTAGGAGTCTAGTTCACTGCCAATGCTGTTCTGACTTCCAAGTTGGGAGTTAACCAGAGGGCACCTGGAGAGCCCCTTCAGCAGCAGAAACTGTCAGAGCTCGGGGTGCTCCGGTCATCTCCCAGCTCCTGATGGGTTCTCCCCTCCAGAAGCAGCAGAGGACCAGGCAACGGTACTGAGATTTGAAAAGGTACCCTTCTAGGTTGCCAGGGCACTTGGGATCTTCTCACTGAGTCCTGTTTGCATCTCAGGAATGCAGCGAGAAGCACAGCCTTTATATGGCTGAAGAAAGTTTTGTGGCGGTGGCTCGAGGTAGCGAGTGGAGCAGGAAATGCTCAGCCTTGCAGACAAAGCGTCTATCTAAAAGGTTAAGGAACCACCAAATGTCAACTTCCCTTTCAGGAGATAACACTTGAGACGAAGCGTGAGGTGATCTTTCAACTGAAAAAGCACTGAAACCCAAAGCACCCGCTGGGGTGTTCCTCTTGGGCTCTCAGCCTTCAGGTCACTTCTCAAAATCGGGTATTGGCTTCATGAGCTTTGTTTCTTCACGCCATCAAAACTTTGGTTTCTGAAAACGCCCAAGCCGCGGCCAAGCCATAAGCTCTACGTAGCTGCCAGCAGAGTCACTCACCTGCTTTAGAAGCAGCCTCTGCAGCGAAGTCTGCAGCAAACTTCTTGAGCACCTCAGCACTTTCTTCCTTGACAAAAAGCCCAATGAAGTTTGAGGACGTGTAGAGCTCCAGAGGCAGAGGGGCAGGGAATTTGCATTTCCACCGCATCACGGTGGCCTGCAGAGCTTCAGTGAGAGCATCGACCTTGCTGTCCTCGCACTGCCAAAGGAAACGGGACAAGCGTTTCTCAGGTGGATAATCACTCCTTACGCCTCTGCTTAGCTCTCTAGCGCGCCCAGTAGAGAAAGGAAAGGCTTGGGAGGGTGAGCACGAATGGTCTCCCTTTGCTATAGGGCAGTGAGAAAAAGCACATGGTCATAAAAAATGTATGTTCAGAAATCATCTGCCCCTCCCTTGTCCTCCAAGCAGGATCAGCTGTCCCCGAGTAACCTCCCTAACCTCACCAAGCCTCCACGGCTGTTAACGATCACTTGAGATTACGAGAATTTGGTCTGCTGCTGCTGCCGAAAACAACTTGCTTAAAAACCAGTTACCTCCTCCACACACACCCCCCCAACCCCCGGGCACAAACCCTTGTGCAGCGACCGAACAAAGTGTGTAATGTCTGCAGCCGGCGCCTGGTGAGGGCTGCTCACGAGTGCGTGCGTAAAGGCAAGGGGAAGAGGAGCTCTGGTTTACCATGAAGAACTGGCAAAGGGTGATATGTGGGAAAATGTTGTGAGCTTTGTTCTTCCCACAGATCTGCTTTGACTGCTGCCAGAACTCGGAGAGCTTCTGAGCCAGGGGGCCGGTGGGGCGCAGGTAGAGGACGTACTCCCGAGGCAGGGTGTCATCGAGGAATGGGTCACCCACATGGGAGAACAACCTAAGAGGGAGAAAGCACTGTTAGACTGACGGATAAAGACATCTATTTTTTTCAGCAAAACCAGCTTTCCCTCTCCTCTCTCCCTTTATGGAACAAATCAGCTCTGGCAGGTCAGGCAGAGAGGTGCACCATCTCACTTGCAGCCCATTACCACTGCTAAGTAATACAGAAAATTGGGTTTTAGTTTCAGACTGAGGCTCTGAAGATCTAACCCAGGTCACTGTTTCTGCCTTTCTGACTTTTGGAGTACAAAACACAGGGAGGAGAGCACTAGAAATTGCTCAACCTCTTTGAAAAGGCATCTCTCGGTTTTCTGTTTAGGGTGGAGAGAGTAGTGGTTCCTTTCTCTCACCTTTTCTTGCTATTACTCGAGATCACAAACTCTCCCAGACAAGGCTTGTTTCTGGACCGCTTATTTACACCACTTAAATAATGGCTCAATAACGCTGCTGGTGTTTTTCAGGGAAAACATTTTACGTGTTTTATACGGAACGTAGCGTTTATCAGTTTAAAAACTCCACGTTCTAATGGCTGAAATCGTAGATGTTAAATTCACTATTTCTTTTACTCTTTTTAACATTTATTACTTCATACCAACCAGTCGCATGCTGCTTGAACGCTTCTTCCACCTGTCGATGCCAGCGCTTTTTGTCTGAAGAGAGAACAAAATAAAAAGAGTATTTCAGTGATGCTGGTTTATACGGTTACAGTCACGTCTGTTGCTTGAACCTGGGTCCTTGCTGGGGAAGGGCTGTGGCGGTGTGCTTAGAAACCTGCAGAATTTGATTTTCAGACGGATTTCCTCAGCCCTGGGGCTTTCTTTAGGTCGTGCTGCCTGTCAAGTCGCTGCACACGGTCTGAGGGGCAAAGCTGTGCCACATATTTAAAGTATGAGAAATGGACCTCTGGGTTTTCCCTGCTTGGCCTGGAGTATTTCTGTCTGGTGAAGCACCGGCTGTTGGCATTTAATGACTTCTATACTGGTCATTTGCCCAGCATGAAAATCAGAAGGGCTGGGTCTGGAAGTGCAGGCATTGCAGTGGCCTGAGGACAAGAAAAAATCAACTGCCACGAGGGGGCACAAACCAGAGATTTTTCCAGGTTCCAATAACCTGCCAATATTTGCAAGCTGCCTTCAGTCCTCGCTACACTGAAAATGCCCTTTTGCTTATTTCCCTTCAGGATGCCTATAAATCCCTTTTCACTCCAGCTAGGAAGACCCAAGTCTTCCGTTCAGCGAGTTTTCTGGTTGCAGAAGCAGCCAGCACGGTGCTGTTTAACTTGTAGACATCTCATAGTGTTTTCCAAATGGTTGACATCAGCACGGAAACGCAGCTGTGGATCAGCTCAGCTTTGTAACACTAGAGACTGCCAAAATGAGAAATTCACCCGGAATCCAAATGGCATAAATATTTAGCAAAAAATGATGACAGGAGGTGGCAGAAAAGGATAGAAATGCTAAGGTCGTGGGGCAGAAGTCAGGCCCTGTTGTCGGGAGGCAAATTCTCCATCAATAGGTGATTTCAGAGCTTTCTGTTTAAGGGAAGAGGGGAAGTATTGCTTTCAAACAAGTACTACAGGTCTGGTAGGAAAGAAGCCAAACTGAAGGGGATGCTGCTTTACTTAACCCTCACACACTCGTGAAACACGGTGTGGGTGGAGGAAGGTCTGAAGAGCAAGAAGCCTTCACAGAAGGCAAGAGAGGGGTCTCCAGGCAGCTGTGTCCCGAAGCCAGGGAAAGGATCCTACAGATGGGCAGTGCCAGAACAGATCTGCATCCTCCAGAGCCACCACGCTGCACTGGCAGACAGGGGGGTGTTTCCCAGCGGTAGAGAGCAGGGACCAGCGCAGCTCCCACTGAAGCTAACGCCCCGCTGCCTGCTGTTCGGGGTGTGAAGCACGAGCAGGGGCAGAGCCCAGGGGCTGACCGAGGTGACAGCCAGTTGTGTTCTCCTGTCGTTAATTTGGCCGAAGCGGCTGCCTCCCTTTTTGCTCCGTGGGTTATATGCCATGTCTCAGCTGCCTGGTGTCAGCGACACAAGATCTGACTGAGGACAGGAAAAACTTCTAGTTCACGCCAGCCAGCCCCAAGCCATAACCTAATTTTACTAAATATGTTACGTTACAGCTTGATAATAGAGTGAGAGCCTTGCTGATCTCTTTAAGCTAGAGGGAATGCGTCTGACCCAAGGGACAGGATCCACGTACTACGCACGCTGTGTTATCTGCTGCGAGAAGATGCTGCCGGTTGGTTATAGGAAGCGGGTCCAAGTGAGGGGAAAAGGCTCATGACTCTGGGGTGCAACCCACAGCTGTAGGACTGGGGCAACTGGGACCTGCCGGCATTTCTTGTTTCTGCCCGTAGTGCTGTGTCGGATATTTACTGAGCTTCTGTCACTCTGTCTGTCTGTCTGCAGCGATGCCTTTCTGAAGCACTCTGATAACCATGCGGGAATGTGCAACGTTACCCACCAGCTCGTAGACATGTGTTGTTGACTCAGCTGTGTTTCAGCTCTGCCCTTGGCTTCCCCACCCCTTAAATATACATATTTGTGTTAGTTTTGACAGTAAGAGGAAGGCAGAAAGATAATGCTGCAAAAAAAGGGCTGTGTTGCAAATGCGCGATTATGAAAATACTTCCTCCTGAAGCATTTTGCTGCCCTTATCTGCCAGCATTCATCTGAGATCAGCAGAGTGCTAGTCCAAGCACCTGCCTTCTGGAAGGATGTATCTCGTGTGGTCAACGCCGTAGTTTGGTCTGTTCTATCTTGCTGACCTTTCCCTAGGCTGGCTCGGACGCACTGTGCAAAACGGCGGCTGTTTTGCTTTGAAAAGCAGCTCAGACGAGCAAAGAGCAAAAAAGCGCTCCCCTTGCACAGGCTGGGAACCTTTCGGGGAGGCTGCTCCCTGAGCAGAGCGATGGCCGGCTGCGGATTTCCCCTACCCTGGTTTCATCGTCCCTTTCTGTTGTGTTGCCTTTGCTTACTCCACCTCCACTGGTGCCTGGGTGGTTTATGCTCTTTAAGACACGACTGAAATGTGACTCTCCTAACCGTGCATCTTGCCACTGAAGTATGTCTGTCTGCGTTGCATCCGAGGCAGTGAATTAAAAACGCCCTCCCAGTCAAGCTCTGGCTTTGAAATGAGCAGTTTCTCCCGTTGCAAAGTGAGGGCAGGCAAGCTGGCTCTACTCATTATTTACTCTCTCCAGACCCCGGAGCAGATCTCCGGAGGAGTCATGCACAATCTAGCAGGACAGACGGTTCTGCCACCCACCCTTGTTGACTTGTTTGCTTAATAAATTGATGTTTCCTTGGAACAAATGGCACAATAGAGCTCTGCTGGAATCGACTGCAGCTCCTTCTCCACTGCCTTTGTGCTCCTGGGACCCCAACGGGTATTAGAAAACGTTAGGCTGGGCCCCACACGTGTTTGTTCATGTGTGATTTCAAAAGGTGCCTATCTCTTCCACGGGGACAATAAACTCCCTTTTCAATTTAATTTCCAGTGTGAGGAAATACTGCATAACGCAAACAAAAGCCAAAGTATATTTTTATCATGGGACCTGAAGCTTTTTTTTTTTTTTTTAAATTTAGTGCTGGGAATGGTGATGATGACTGATAGCCTGTGGTTAGTCACAAAACAGGGCATGCACTGCATCCCTCCCTAACACTCCTCTGCAGCCACCAGCCAGAACTTGGGGAAGTTCCATCCTCCGGGTACTCCAGCTCCCAGGCTCTGTCAAGACCAACTTTTAAAAAGTTGAATACTCAAAACTAATCACAGCTATGTTTGGCCGCTTTCAAAAGTGGCCTGATTTTCACAGCTGCTGAGTGCAGTGGGAGCTGGAAGACATATTCTGCTCCTGAGAAAATCAGGTCACTTAATTAGGTGACTAGCTATGATTTAGGTGCTCAGATTTACTCATGCTGGGTAGTAAGTGTTGGCTGTAGTATTGTAGCTAGCGGTAAGAAGTGGTTTTGTGACACAGATGCCCCAGAAAAGAAAAAAAAAAAAAGCCGATAAATAGTGTATTCTTCAGAATCTACCAAACTGCCATTACACAGTAACCATTTCTGGTCATGCAAAAATCGCAGCTGGAATTCAGATAGGAGGTGAAAAGCTTTGTGCCGCATTACTAGTCCCTCGAGCCCCCCAATTCCAATCTCTCCTCACTTCTGCTGCCTCTGAGATGCAGTACAGGGAAATCATATAACAGCGCACAGCGACACGTAATAGCAATTTTGAACAGACAGCACGGGAGATGCTACGTCCAGCTGCAGGTCTGGAAATGGAGAGCTTAGGGAAGGGGAAAGATCTGAACGGCACTGTCTTCCAGAAACACTGCAGCTATTTTAGCCACCGCAAAGAACCAGATGGTTTTGATTCTTCGACCTCGGAGGCCTCCCCGTGACACTCTTCAACGTCAGGTCACAAGGAAAGTCTTTCTCCACTCAATCACTGGTTAAGCACTATCAAAATATTGATAGGAAGTGTCCCAGCTAAACAGCTGACCCCTTAGTCTGAAACATTACAGCAGCACCGGTGCTGCTGCCCTGGCATACATATTAATGTGTAAATGGTGCCCGTTTTAACCCCAGCCCGCTTAATGGGAGAGCCCGCAGCTCCGCATGCTACAGAACTTCATTACTGTGGAAGGATTTTTGGCTTCCTGCAATTTCAGGGTAGGAAAAGGAGGCAACAGGGGAATGTCAATTCAGCTCGGAAATATATATCAATAAACATAAAGTATAATGGCAAAATCCCATTTACTTCAGAGGAAATGACTGTAATGGGGAATGATGCATTAACCATAAAGAGAACCTTCAGTCTCAGAAGCACCACACAGGAATCCTGTCCCCGTACGTGCTCAGGTTTCTTAATCGAGTCCAGTTTAAGAAAGGAGGGTGCCGTAGCACGTGGGGTAATAAACTGCCACGCGGGAAAGGTAACGCAAAATGCACAAGAGCAAGAGACAGGGGTGAGCTGTTCGGAGCTTGTTCTCGATCTGCACCCGTGCGGTGTTTTATCACTAGGGTGCAAAATTCGGGGTGCTGATGCCCACAGCAGAGGCGAGCTGTGCTGGGGCGGGGAAGACGAGCGTGGCCACGCAGGGTCCCCAGCCTCTGTCGTGGCCCCGCTGGGCTGCAGCAGCCGAGATGCTGGAGCCCCCGGAGCTGGTCCTTCAGGCACGTACAGAGCGCTGCGGGCAGGCTCCTCTCCTCCCCACGCGTTCAAGTACACCACGGCCGAGCCACGCAGCTGGTCGGGACCCTGGGGTCCAGAGAGCCTGTCTGCTCTCCAGAAGCAAGCTCTAATTCATAGAAAGCTGGCCCCTCTGGCTGCCACTTAGGAATGAATTCCCCCGTTTCCGCTGGCTCTCCCTTTGCTATAATAAGCAGAGATTCCAACCCGGCCGTCGGCAGAGCTGACCTCCCTCTGTTTGTAAGCTCGCTCTGCTGCCTGTCGCTTCTCACAGAGGCCGTGGAAAATGCTAGCAGCAGCCTCTACCTCTGATCCACCTACAAGTTGTCTGCCTACGGAGGCACCGAGGGATTTGTGAATGAGCAATGGAAGGATGGAGGCAGCCTGTAAAAGAAAGGGAATGACTAAATCTTCCCTTTCATTACGTGCCTCGAGCCTAGACAAACT